GGGTGCTTGACTACTGAGCCACATCCCCAGCCCTTTTTATTTTGAGACAGATCTTGCCAAGTTGTTTAGAGTCTTGCTATCTTGCTGAGGCTGCTTTGAACTCAACGATCCTCCTGCCTCAGCCTCCCAAAAGCTGGGATTACATGTGTGGGCCACCGTGCCTGGCACTCCCCATATTGCCTTATCATAGGCTCTGCAGCAAAATCCCTGACTCCTTCTCTAGTTCCAGACTTTTGTTTATTTCCCCTCTCCCCACTGGCCTCTCTCTTAGTTCTTAGGTCGATCAACAGCCTCTCAGCTACGACCTCTTTACTTCTTGCAGAATAGACTTTTCTTTGGGGAAGACTGGAAGACTTCTGGATTTTAATCTATTTTGCCCCTTTACACACGTATCTACTACAAAATACCTAGACTTAGGAGACTTGAAAAATATTCCTGAATGGATGAATGGTCAGAGTAACCAGTCTATGCACTGAATTCCCTACTTTTCTCTATCCCTGGTCCTTCTTCCTAGAACAATCCGCCATAATTGGTTGCTTGGATTTGTCACAGCCTTCTAAGTGATATTTGTACCTCCAGTCTTGTGTCCTTAGAGATCATTATCCACATAGTGGACACAGTGATCCTTTAAAAATGTACCTAATGTCACTGGGTGCTGTAGCATATGCCTGTAATCCAAGAGACTCCAGAAGCTGAGGCAGGAGGATGGCAAGTTTGAGACCAGCCTCAGCAACATAGCGAGGCTCTAAGCAGCTTAGAGAAAGCCTGTCTCAAAATAAAAAATAAAAGGGCTCGGGATGTGGCTCAGGGGTTGAACGCCTCTGGATTAAATCCCCAGTACTCTTCCCGAAACCAAAATGTACTTAATGTCACTTTGTTCTCCTGCTGGAGAACTTCAAGTGGTTTCCCTTCATATTACAGCAAACTCAACACAGCTCATACCCCTTCCTCCCTCACTCATCATGTGCCAGCCACACGGAGATCCCTTCTGGGCCTTTACATCAGCAGTGCCCTCTGTTTGGATTACTCTTATCCTGATCATCACATGACTATAATGTCATGCCAGAAGTGTCACCTCCACAGAGAAATGGAGGTCTAGAGTGCCTTCCCCTGATGCCATCTCTTCACCTTCCCTGTTTTTCCGTTCTGGTTACCTATTGTTGCATGACAACCTGCCTCAATACGATTTGTTATAGTATCCCATGATTCTGTGGGTTAGGAAATCAATCAGAACTCAGCTTTGCTCTGTGAGGTCTGGGATCTCAGCTGAGATGGCCACAATGACTGAGCATTTGTCTTCTTCTCCCTATCTCCATATGGTCAACTTGAGCTTCCTTCCAACATGGCAAACTCAGGCTGGTGGTTGACTTCATATAGAGCTATGTTTCAAGAGACCATAACAGAATTGCCAGTCTCTCTCTCTCTCTCTCTCTCTCAGCACTGGGGATTTAATTCAGGGACACTTTACCACTGGGCTATATCCTCAGTCTTTTTTTTTTTTTTTTTACTTTTTGAGACAGGGTCTCGCTAAGTTGCTGAGAGCCTTGCTAAATTGCTGAGACTGATCTCAAATTTGTGACCTCCTCCCTGAGCCTTCCAAATCGCTGGAATTATAGGCATGTGTCACCATACCCGGTGCACCAGTGCTCTTGAAAGCTAGGGTTGGAATAATTTCAAAGGGACCAGGCCATCCTGGATGCAAAGAGAGGGAACAGAGAGATCACCTCCGGATCAGAGTGTCAAGTCCATCCCTAATATGCCTTAACCACATTTTGGCAACAGGGTATTTTCTTGTTAATTCATTTCACATGGGTGACCTGCTTATTGAGTAAACAGTAGGGTACAAACTTGTTTTTTATTTTGTGTTGTTTATCTCCCATCATTGCTTCTAGGTGAACTATGTTGATGCTCCTTTTTCTGTTCCTTAAAGAATTTTGGGCAAAACTTCTAATGTCCTTGACACTTGAATTTATTGAAATGACCAGCCTCTCCTAAGCTGGTCCATCCAGTTTAAGATCCTTTTCCTGCCCCAGGCAGGGCCTGGATTTGGTGCAGGGGATCCACGAGGGGTGTGTCCTGCCCCTGTACCCCTCCTGCCTTTTTCTCAGTCCCTTTCTCTTCTTTCACACACATGGCGGGAGAGGGCAGCGGGGATTGGGGGAAGTCCTTCTCAGCTATGCCGTTTCTTCTCTGGCTATGCATGCACCTGCATGACGAGGAGGCCAACCCTCTGTGGGCTCACCGCAGGCCCACGCTGCGCTACTGTCCCCTGATGTGGGAGATCACTTCCAGCTCCCTGTCTGACACCCTCACTCCGCTGTACCCCACAGGCCTCTTTCTCAGGAGAACATGGGCCAAACAGCTCAAGGACATTCTGTCATGTTCATCTGCCCTACAGGAGACTCCTGCTGGCTGCCCCAAAGGGTTCCCTCTCAGTGTCTCTTCCATTCTGTACAACCCTGACTCCCCATTCAGATGGCACATGGGAAAATCCAGCCCCAGGGAGAGAGGGAAAAGGGCTGCGCCCAGGACTCCAGGGACCTTGTCTCCCCCCTTCCCCTTCCTGGGCTGCTGCTTATAGAGCCGAGGAAGGAGAGCTGGGTGGTGTCTACATGTCACAGAATTACTTCAGCCCTCTCTTAACAAATCCCATGGGCAAATGTGTCCAGCCCCAAATAATTTCTTTGTTTTAGAATTTGTGGTCCTCAGGGCTGGGGATGTAGCTCAGTGGTAGAGCTGCTTGCTTAGAACACACAAAGACCTGGGTTCAATCCCCAGCATTGGGGGAAAAAAAAAGGAGGTGCTCAAAAGCCCCTTCTTCCTTAGCTCTGAGTCTAGTCACCAGCTTAAGCATATAAAGAGCCAAGAGCCACCTCATACCCTCTAACGCCCACTTGGGGTCTGTCTCTCCACTGGAATATGACTGTGAGAACTAGTCCTTATGCATTTGATTCCACACTGGCACCTCAGTGCCTGGGATGGTGTCTGTAACCGAAGGGAGGCTCCCTAATGGGTGTCAAACAAATAAAAAGATCCTTTTCCTTTAGGACCCAATGATCTGAATGGACTGTCAGTGTGGTTGAGTGGACCCGCCAGTTCCTTTCAGTTCCTCTCCTACTTGTTCCTGCTGCAGGGCTCCTGGTCAAGGATGTGGGATTTTGCTCCTGACCTCCGGGAGCCGCCCTGGTTTGTCTAGGTCTTTACAGGAGGCTGCCCTCTGTGTGAGACACTCAGGGAGATGAAAGTCTTGATGATGCCCAGGGGCAGGGCCGGGGTCCTCCGAGTTGAGCTGGAGGCCTGGCCAAGGGGAGGGCTACTCTCAGTCGGTCAAAGGCAACCAGAGCAGCTGCAGACAAAGCCTAGAGAAGCAGGAAAGTGCATTTCTTCTGCTAAGAGTGTCCCCTGGGGCTGACCCACACCCTCCCTGTGATCACCAGCCAGGAGCACATTCAGACCAGAGTGTCCTTGAGAGGCCCAGGCCGCAGTGAACAGACCGCCAAGGGCCTGAGGAGGTCACTCCACCCTGCCAGGCCCTTCATGGCCCCCCTCCAAAGTCGGAGGCGGGTCCTATGGGTTTCAGACTCAGATGAGGAACTGGAGCCAAGGAGAGAACGGGGAACCCCCTTCTACCAATACCCATGACATAAAAGGACACACACAACTTCAGGGTCAGAAGCACATGGGGGTCCAACAGTAAGTGGTCTGGACTCATAAATAGAAGGGAACATTTTTTCATGCCAAGGTATTAAGGAGGTAGGCGGAGGAAGTTGGGAAGTAAAAGGAAGAAGAAATTGGCAGAAAACCCCTGCTTCTAGCAGCCTGAGCAGGTGGAGATCCTGCAGTTCAGTGCCCTGGGGTCCAGGTCCGGAGGTGTCCCTGCAGCCTGAGGAGTCTGGGAACTCCATTCACCTGGGGTCTAGAGGGCCAGGCCCTGCGCTGGGTGGGGTTAGGTGGCTCTGGGGCAGAAGGGGACCATTGAATTTTATGGTGTTCAGAGGTGGCTAGGGCCAGGCCTCTCCCCAACTCTGCGGTAAGACTACATCTGGGAGCCTCTCGTTGGGGAAGGTGTGGCCCTAGGGTGCTGTGGGAGTGGGCCTGAGCAAGCCCCAGGGCAGCCCTGGAATAGCCTGTATAGAAAAAGTCTCCATGATGACCCAAGACACGGAGACGGGAGCCTGGGCACTGTTAGAATGTGTCCAAGTGGGAGGACCATCTAGCGAAGGCCCTTGTGTTAGAGATGAAAAAGGAAGGTAGAAGGAGACCCAGGGTCACTTGGTGAGTTGGAGACGTGGTCCTGGCCTCTGAATCCCACCCAGTTTGATGTCCTCTGGCTCCATCCGTCATTTCAACTTCTTGGGCCTCCGCTTCTCTACTGTCAAAGGAAGAAGGCAGGAGAACGCCACCTCGCTGTGCTGCAACCTGGGCAGGTTTTCTAAGATGGGAAACTGAGGCTCTGAGGTGGCCTTGCGCTCTGCCCGTTTTCTGCCCCTGCCCACTGCTCCAGCACACACGACCCTGGACAGGCTGCTTCCAGACTAGAATGCTTTATTCAAGAGAATCTGGCTTGGCAGTCAGACGGCCCTGCGGGGCAGCTGGTGGGGCACAGGGCCCTTGGGGAATCTGCTCCACTTTCCGCAGCCACTGGGCTAAGACACAAGGGCCCCTCTCCCGGTGACCTCATTCCCATTTTGCTGGGCTCCTCCTTGTACAGCCTGCTCGCTGTCCAGCCTGGGGCCCACTCAGCCTAAGTCCCTGAGACGGGGACAGAGTGGTGGTGCCCTGGCTAGAAAGAACAATGTTCCCAAAATAAGCAGGTGGCAAAGTGGGAGGGCGTGACCTTGGAGGACAGGAGTGGCAAAAGCCCCCAGGCAAGCGCCGTTCTCCAGCACTGAACATCCTGGTCTCCTGGGTGAAGAGCCGCTGTCAGGAAGAGGAGGACCAGTCTGGATCCCCTCCACCCACCCTCCTCCTTCCCACCCAGCCTGGGCCGTGGTGGCCGGAGCACGCGCCTGTACCCCTGCCTGGGCCAGGAGCTGGGCTCCCTGTGCAGAGCGCTGGGCCCAGGAACAGACTCTGGGTCCCCTCTGGGGCCTGGCCTGCCCCTTGCAAGGCCACATGTCTCGCTTCTTCCCAAGCCGAAGCTCCCACAGGTCCGTGTCTGGCTTCCTTCTTTCTCTCACGTTCTGTTTAAGGCACTGAATTCCTGAGGGTCCTTTCCCTCCATTCCTCTTGTCCTGGAGGGAGGGATTCATTCAACAGGGATGCAGTTGGCTAATAAATAGAGGACAGGTACCAGCAGGGAGGTCACCAGGAGTGTGACAGTAATAAATACACGAGCTGGGGGCGGGGTCTCGCTCCTCCGAGGGGTGGTTACGTCTGAGGAACAGTGTCACTGCACCTGCCAAGACCAAACACAGACAGGCAGGGGTGTCAGCACACTGTGGAGGGTGGGAGGTGGACGCAGAGGGGAAGCTTGGACAGGGTGCACAGGGAGGGTGCAATGCTCCTGGGACCCTGCTGACACAAAGGCCATCAAGCAGCTGCGGGCCACCCTTCACTGAACACTCACCCAGGTGCCCAGCCTCGTGCCAAGCCTGTCACAACATCCCAGGAGGAAAGTCTGAAGAACTGCCTTCCTGGTGGGATGATGTTCCCTCATCTGCATGGAACTAAAGGAACCTAGTTTCTCATCTGAGAGACCCAGAGAGGTCAAGAAACGTCCAAGATCACATAGCTAGTCAGGGACAAAGTCACATTTGAACTCAGTCTGACTTCATGTAAGAACAGCAGTCTTCAAATAGGGGAACAGGTGCCTTTAGATGATCGTGAAGCCTGAGAAATGATGATTTTAAAGAAATTGGTTTTCAGCCTTTGTGGGTATATGGCCTTAAGATTGGTTGTGTGAAAAAGTGACTGAGGTCCGCTTCATTACCCCTCTTCCTTTAGAAAGGAAGGGATGCACCTGGTCCTTTCTAAATCCTGTCAAAGTGCTCTGCAGCAAGGTGAAAGTGTTCTGAGGACACGAAATGGAAGGACAACCTGAATCCTGGTGTAGGTGTTGAGACCGAAATACATCAAAGGACTGGGTCACCAAGTCCTTGGCAAGTGAGGAGATTTCTTTTCTTTTTTGGTACAGGGGATTGAATTCAGGGGCACTTAACCACTGAGCCACATCCCCAGCCCCTTTTTAAATATTTTATTTAGAGACAGGGTCCCACTGATTTGCTTAGAGCCTCACTGAATTGCTGAGACGGGCTTTGAATTCACGGTCATTCTACCTCAGCCTCCCAAACTGCTGGGATTACAGGCACGCACCACCGAGCCCGGCGAGTTAGGCTATTTCTACATTTTTGAACAAAATTGAAGAGCAACCTAACCTAGCTGTCAGCCGATATATCATCAGAAGTGATTTTCATTAGCAGATCACCCTGAGGTTTTTGGCAAATAACTTGGAAGGAGTTCAAGTAATTGAGTGGCATCCAGTCCCATTTACTTATTTCTGAGTTTGATTCCTCAACCTTTTCATCTACAAAAAATGATAAACAGAAGTGCAATTTATGCTGAATCCCGTCTCAGTCTGGCAGGAGGTAACATTCATCAACAGAGTCATTAACTAATTGAAAAGAGGCAGCCACATCCATCTCATTGAGATGCATCCCCAATAAGATGGATTGTACTTTTAGGCTTTAAATTTATTAAAGTATGATGTATTTGTGCTGTTTTGGTCAAGTGGTACTACCAATAATTATTTCAATAATTTATTCCAGGAGAAAATTTAATTTGGTTTCATGCTCACAGGATATTAAAAATAGTTTGAACTTATATACCATTTTGTGGCAGCCAAATCTAACAAGATGGTAAATAATTTTTTTATTTTTCTTTTTGCAGTATGGGTATCAGATACAGCACTTTGTATATGCTAGGCAAGCTCTCTATCACTGAGCTAAACCCCCAGCCCAATAAAAGACTTTTGAGCATTAAAAGTAATATTATATTAGGCAGAAATTCTGTAGGGGAAGTGAAACAGAAATGAGCTGTTTCACTCTTGAGCTATAAACTCAGCAGCTTGGGAAGCTGAGGCATGAGGATTGCAAGTTCAAAGCCAGCCTCATCTTATGAGGCCCTAAGCAACTCAGTGAGACCCTGTCTCTAAATAAAATTCAAAAAAAGGCTGGGGATGTGGCTCCATGGTTGAGCACCCCTGGGTTCAATCCCCAGAACCATAAAAAACATAAATGCAAAGTCCCAGGCAAATAGAAGTAATGTTATACGTAAGTAAATATTAAGGGAGGTTATGCATATATTTTTTTGCTGTTCATTTTTTTAATATTAGATGAGGAGGAGGACTACATTAGGACAGCATATTCAGTAGGATATTTCTGGAGACTGACTTATAGACTCACTCTTATAATAGTTTTACACTAAAATATTATTATTTACAATGTGCCAGAAATTGTATCCTTTGCAACTGTTTGTAATTATGATAAGAAAGGGTCAAACCACAGAGAGCAAGAAAGTCCATGAGTTCTGGAAATTCTTTCAGAAAATGCCCTAATGAAATGGTTGACGACTGATGGCTGGGAGATGGCGTGATGGGACACTCTGTACCTCGGGCTGCCTGGCTCCCTTGATTTCACTGCCAGTTTCTGCCCTAAATGGCTGTGTGGGCTCAAGGTAGAAATGAGGGCCATAAGCCTTAGGGGGCCTTTGCCAAATCCCTGTCTTCCCAGATGGGGTAGAGATCTCCACTCTTGAAGGACCTGGCTTCTGGGGTCAGGACTTGGGTAAGCTCCACTCCTACAGCGTGAAATGGTTTCCTGTCATGCAGCTAGAAGCAGACCTAGGCCCTGAAGGGAAACCCTGGTTTACTGTGCATGTACAATATTTTATTTTTACTATTTATTCTCACAAATTTAGGTATTCCCTTCTCTAATCCTTCTCTCCCAGCCACACTCAACTCTGGGACTCCAGCCTGCTGTCCCCAATGTGAAGCCAAAATAGGCAAGGGACATGGAGAGGGGAAGAGGAAGCAAAGGGACCCTAGAGTAGAAAAACAACTGGGAGCCAGTAGGGGCTGCACCTCTCCAGGGCTGTGAGGAGCAGCCCTAGCCAACTTTGTGTCATTCGAATGTAAATGCCCTAAGCCCTTGTTCGCTTGCCGATGGGTCTGGCACGCAGGAAGTGCTTGGTAAGTGTTTGTCAAATGACCCAGCGCTTGGCATACTTCCTGCCCCATCAATTTAGGAAGAGAAAAACTAGGCTCAGAAAGGTGACGTGATTTGTTCTAGATCTCACAGAGATTAGGGGCTAAGCCAAGGCAAGAACAGAGGGTCCCTGATGCTTTCTGGGCCTGAGGGAGGTGCAGCCCTTATTCTGGTCACCAAGAGTCCCTGAGCCTTGTCTGTCCTCAGGCGGACCACTGACCCCTGCCAGCAGGGAGAGGCCCCCCATTGGGCCCAGCCTCCTTGCCATCCCTGGGCTCCCACTCACTCACTGATGGCAGTCTGTGGATCTCTGCTTCTCTTTCTTCCTCTTCCCCCTGCCCTTGAGTCTCCTCCTGCAATAAGCCAAAAGCATCAGGACAAAGCGTCTGGGGCCCTCATGCTAGGACAGGGGCTGGCAGGTCGGAGAATACCCCATGCCCCAGCCTCTTGCCACTCACCTTTCTGGCTTCATCTTCTCCCGCAGAGGTCTAGGGAAACAGAGAGAGGGGAGAGGGGAATCAGGAGAGCAGTAATGGGGCCCCCCTGCCATCCCACCACCTCCCCTCAGACTTCCTTAGGATTGGTTCTGCAGTTGACACTGTGGCCACTAGGGGGAAGCATGGAGCTGGTGAGGGAGAGATGGCCAGAGGCCTCTGGGCTGGGGTTCCTACCCTAGGTTCTGGTGACTCCCCCCCCAAGAGAGGTACAAATCCCCCCTTAGGGCTCCTCATCTGCATGCCTCAGCCTCTTGGCATCAAATCTGGGGTCTTTTGAGTCTATTCTCTGCTTCTTCACTTTCTCTGTTAACTTCCTCCCCTTTCTTCCAGGGTGCATTCTGGGAATTTCCTCAAGGATGGTAATTGATGGATGAGACCATGGACAGAGGCGATGATTGCTGCCAGCCAAGGCTGCCTGTCAGGGCACAACCCCCACCCCTCCCTGGCAACACCAGGGGCAGTGGGTGAGGGTGGTGACGGGAGGTGAACACAAGCTGCATGGTCACCAGGCATGTCCCAGCTCTGCCTCCCGGGGATGTGGCTGTTGGCCCAGAAGTGAGAAGAAAGGTGTTCCTGTTGCCAGGCCTGTTGGAAGGGGATGGGGCCTCAGTCTTCTCTGGGAACAGTGGGGGGAGGGAAGGGGGCAGCAGGGTAACAGTCAGTTCTGGGCTGTGGGCAGGGAGGGAATTCTGCCCTGGACTGCTCCTGCCTTGGGAATGCCTGCTCTCCATATAGGGCAAGTCAGAGACACTCTAGAAACCTCGCTTTCCTCATCTGCTCATGCTACAAGAGTGGTGCAAAGGCAAAGGTAATGTAGAAGGTGACGGGCACTGTACAGCACTGTACCCAGGAGGGATCGTGACTGAGATTTTGCTGTACAGCTGGCTGAGCAGAAACAGGGCCCTCAATGCTGACATGGTGAAGAGGGCCTGGAGTCTGGGCTCAGGTTCAAAGTGGGCAGCCAGAGCCCCAGGTACCAGGCAGGGCTGAGCCTAAGTGGTCCTGGGGCTATGGGAGAATGTGGTGATGACCAAGAGAGGCAGCATGAAAAGGGGAGGCCTAAGACAGACAGGCCAGAGTTCAAATCCAAATCCCCCCTCCATACTCACTAGCTGCATCTGCCTGGGTTTCCTCACCTACACAGTGGGGACAGGGCAGCCACAAGAGCAAGGACCTTGTCTGCTTTGCTGGTCACTGTATCCCAAGCATCTAGGCCAGTGCCTGGCATACAGTAGGCACTTAATAAACATATGTGAGTAAATGAGAAAACACAATCAAATGCCTCATCTGGGGCTGGGCACAGTAGGTACATAATAAGAGCTTGTCCTTCGCCTCTTCCTACCCCACACGGGCTCTAGGCCTGGCCAGTCCAGTGCCTCGCCCCATGGCCTAGTGGTACCTAGAGCAGCATCTCAGCCTGTCTCGCTCTTTCTGGACCTGGATGTCAGTACCAGGCCTGCTGTTCCTAGTGCTTGGGACCCAGGCAGCAAGGCAGGTGCTGGCCCAGCCTTAGCGGGTTGGACGAGGGTGAGATGGCAGGGGCTTCAACTTTAAAGAAACCTCAGCGCGTCCTTTCTCCCGCCCCTCTGCTCCCACCAGAGCTCGTCCTTCCTTCTGATTCTCAGCGCAGTCGCCCCCTCCCGAGGGCATGCAACCTGGCCCAGAACCAAGTCCAGCCTTGTGATGCCTTTGCCTCCAGGGGCCTGTGGCAGCTGCCTCCCATCTCAGAGGAGGGGAACAACGTGCGCTAAGCCCCTGCAAGTCTGGGAGGGACCCAGGCTTCCCCTTCCCCTGTGGCATCTCAGCAGCTGTACTCCAGCTGCTGGGATCAGCTCCCCAGGCCAAACTGGCTGGTGGGGTTAGAGAATGAAAGGCAGCTGCCCCGGGTCCATTAAGCAGGGAAGTAAGCGCTGCCTGCCGCAGGGCCCGTAGCTCCACCTCTGCCCTGGGACCCTGTCCCGGAGGTCTACCCAGGATCTACCTGCACTCGCAGCTCACGTGCTGAGAGAATTTCAGCTCCACATAGGAGGGTGGACCCTCCGGGGGGATCTTCAGGATCTGCAGGAAGAAAAAGGCCAATGCCTGGTGAGGGTGCAGCTGAGTGGCCGCGAGCTGAGCCGGGCTCAGGAAGGAGCACCCTGTGCTGGGGAGGGGACCGAGGGTCCCTGGCCGGGGCCTTGGCCCGCCTCCTCCTCTCTCCACATCTTTTCTAGTGGGCATGTTCCTGGGTAGGGGCTGGCCAAGGAGCCCGCGGCACATGAAGAGGGCCCCCTACCTGCATGGTGACGTTGGTTGTCTCCACGGGCAGACAGTGCAGGTCCTCGTCACCACAGCAGCCAGTGCAGCGCTTCAGGGAGACACAGGACGGGCTCAGTATGTACTCCATCTCACTAGGGTACTCGGTCACAATGTCCACCAGCTTCTCCAGGGCCCGGCAGTAGCTGCGGCCCCACACCTCATGGAAGGGTATCACTACAAAGGCAGGAGGGTGGGTCAGGCCAGCAGGTGGCTCCCTGAAGCCGAGGCCTGGCTCCCAGGGTAGCCCATGTGTCCTTCTCCCTCAGCCCTCAGTCCCATCTGAGCCACCTCTGTTCTTCGGAGCTTCTGACAGGATCCCTTTGGGATGCCTGCTGGACCCTTGGCTCTTCTTCTGGGTACAGATCCCAGCAGAACAGAATCTCTTAATCCTGAGCTCTCAGCTCTGTTCTCTGCTCAGGTAGCCATGCGGGTCTTGGTTCCTTGGAGCTTTGAGGACTGTGCCTGGCAGCTCCCCAAGTCCTCTGACCCTTCTCAGGCCTGACCTGGTACTTCCTCCCATCGTGGGGAACGTGCTAAAAACCATTCTGGAGTCCTGCAGGGAGGGTTGGCCTTCCCCTTAGTCCTCTGCCCAGAAGCCTACCATGGCTCCCTCGTGTCCCGCCCCACACAGTGCCAGCTCCTCTGCCTGCAACCAAGACCACATGGAGCAATGTGGCCCAGCCTTCTCTCCACTCGGAGCCAGAGCCAGCACACTGAGCCAGGGCACATGACGTCCTTCCCCAGGTCTGGGCTTTTGTGCTGTGTGCTGCAGGAGGAGGGTGATGTTCTTTTCCTTCTTTTTTTGTTTTACTTTTTTTCTTTGCGATGCTGGGGATGAAGCCCCAGGCCTCAGGCGGGCCAGGCAAGTGCTCTTCTGCTGAGCTACACCCTGGGCCCACCCTTCCACTTCTTCCCAAGGAAAGCCCCGCCCCTGCTTCCCAGGGTCCCCTTCCCACCTCCTCCCTGCCTTCCCCAGAGATTCTCTAGGCTCCTCCACCGAGCACAGCTTGGCCCCAGGCTTCTCCTCCTCTCTCTTATCATTGGTGGCTCTTATCTCCTTTACAGCCCAACTGAGGCTCTGGGAAGTCAGGAGTGAGGCAGAGGGCTGGTAAACACAGGCTAAGTGGCTCCTGACAGATTAGATGACAGTTCATTGAGGATTACCGGGGCCATCCCTGAACCCTGAACTGTCCTGGTTGTGGTGAGTGGGATCTTTGGGGGACTGATCTGGAATCTCTCAAAAAACACTACTCCTTTAAGGGAAGGTCTGGTGCCAGGACCCAATAGAGGTTCCCTGGGAGTGGACAAGAGCCAGGACATCCAGTTTCTAGTCCTGGCTTTATACTGACTGTGTGACCTTGGGGAGGTCACTTAACCTTTCTGGATATATCAGTTTCCCCGGCTAGGGAAAAAGAAGGTTGGGAATAGGTGGTTGCTAAGGTCTCCCTCGCTCTGACAGACTGTGATTCAGTTCGTGCAACCCAGCCGGCCTAGCCTTGAGAATGTGGGCACAGAAACATCCCTGGGCCCGGGTCATCCTGCTCCACATCTGATGGTCATCCTCAGCTGCTGGAGGAGGACAGGGAGCTGGGTCACCTGGGAGCCCTGCAGCCTTGGCATAGAGCAACGGCCTCTCCCAGCAGTCCCTCACTTCCTCCCATGGCTTTTCCCAGGAGGCAGATGGGGCCAAAGTCCATTCCCCTGAGCCTATGAGGACCTGAGTCTCAGGGCAATCTCAGAAGAAAAATAAACTTCAGTCACAGCAGAGGCCCTTGAGAAAGGCTGGGAGCTGGTGGAAAGTACCCAGAGCCAGGACGGCCACATGGAGATGGCGGGGCCACCACGGCCAGCAGACCCGGCTCACTGGAGTGTGGGCTGCTCATCTTTCCCTGCTCACCCCAGGGGGCACTTGGGCTGGACCAGGGCTGGAGGGGGATCCCCAGGCTCCCTGACACTCCCTCTCCAGGCCACTGGACACTCCCCCTGGGCCCAAGAGGGAAACAAGTCCTCTTTCCCCATAGGCACCCTGCAGCCCAGGGGGAGCCTGCCTCCGCAATACAGGGTCAGAGAGCACCTTCCTATCGCCAGCTCCATGAGCTGTATGTTTAGTCTAGAACCTTCGTGAGCACTATGCGACTCTGAACATTTAATCTCTGCCGTGGAAACATAAATAAGAGCAGAGGGATAGTCAGGGCCCAAGCACAGCAGAAGGCTCGGTTTCCTGTTCTGGGACCAGCCATTAGGGAGGGGGACAAGAGCAGAGAAGGGAACACCCCAGCCCCCTGTCATCCATAAATAAATCCCACCCAGCTGGGCCTAGAGGCCACGGCCAGGTTGAGCAGAGCCAGCTGGGCCAAGGCTGCAGAGGAAGGGATTTCCTCTCCTCGACCCCACACCCATGGTAGGGCTCTGCGTCCACAGCACCCAGGCTCCAGGGCTCCGAGATCCTGAAATCTGTCACTTTCTGGCCCAGGTAGGGAGACTGTTGGTAAGGGCGGAGAAGGCAGAGGAGTGGGGCCTGGTTTACCTGGAAGCTACCTAGAAAGAGTAGCTCATCTCTGGAGGCCCCTGTCTGGGTGTGAAGGAGGAACAACACTGGGCTGGGCGAGGGGCCAGCTGAGGGAGTGCGGTGGCCGCTCTCACGTGTGGGGTGTGGGCCGAGCCCCTCAGGAGGGAGCTCCACTGGGCTGCTCCAGGGAGCGCGTCTGCTGGCCCCCTGGTCTGTCAGGGCTTGGGGTGGGGGTGGGGTGAGAGGAAGGGGAGGCTGAGGCCCCATCAGGCACCGGGCCAGGGCTGGGTGTTCCCCCAAGGAGACTACTCCTGCAGCCACTCCTGGGCGCTCAGCTGTCTCCAGCCCTGTGGGTGCGTCTCCATCTGTTCCTAACTTTCTATTTTATGGAGAATAGAGGACACCCAGGAAGGGACATGTTTAATCCTGAGAACAAGCTTCTGGAAGCCGCTGGGGAGGGGCTGCTGGGCTGGGCAGAGCCGCTGGCCACCAGTCGGAGCCCAGCAGGTGTCCTCCTCACTAATGGGGCACATAGCCAGCCAGCCACAAGGGACACCCTGATTGTGCCTGCTCAGCCACCCAGCAGTTGGGAGGGCCTGGTGGCAGGTTCTGCCAGATACATTGCAAAGTGCCTGAGGCTTAGGCGATCCTAAGGACCTCTCTGAACTCCAGGTTCTTCATCTGTAAAGTATGGATAATGTGAATGTTTTCTTAGTTCACAGCCCCGTGGTCAAACGACATGATAGTAAATGCCCATGAAGAATGAAAAATCAATGGCCATGGCCAGACCATGCTATCTCTCTTGCTTCGGTGTTAGCAGGAAGAGATGTCATTTTCAGATTTTGAACACTGGAGCCCAAAGCTCACTGTGCTTCCCTGGCCACAATACAAGCTCCCTGATGGATTAGAATGACAGCTGAGCTGACCTATATGAATCTATGCTCTCAAACCTCCTCACCCAACATCCTGGTGTATATCTTTGTGTATCTTCCATGAGTCAGAGAATCCTATAGTCTTAGAAAAAGAAAGAACCTTCAGAATCATGTAGTCGAATGCTCCCATTTTGCAGATGAGGAAACTGAGGCTCAGACATCTTTGGCACCTGTTGCCAAAACTGCACTAAAAGCATCAAAATGAACATGGTGTAGAGTTGGGGGGTTGGGGTTTAGTCCCTCCCCAAATCCCAGAGAGCATAATATTAAGGCAGTTCCAGAGGGCATAGCAAGGGGTGTCACTGAAGCCAAGGATAGCTAACCCGCCCCTGCTCAGTGGCCAAGGGGTCTGGGTCTCAGGCATCAGCGTGAGAGAATCTGGCTGCTGGGTTGGCAGGCAAGTAGCCAGACGGGCAAGCCAACAGAGGGTGTCCCAGCCCATGGACGGCTATCACACGAGTGTGTGGTGTGCACGTCTCTACACGCCCCCCTCCCACAGCATGGTGGGAAGCCTCAGCAGTGGTGTGTGGCCACTCTGCACGTCTTGGAGAGGCAGGAAGGGAGGAGCAAGGCAGGGGGCCTGGCATGGGCCTCTTGTCTTCTGCACGTATGTCTCTTTGGCAAATGTCTCCTTGCCCTTTGAAGATTCCCTCTTGATGCAACCCGGGGCGGGGAGTGTTGGGGCCAGGGAGGGCGCGACTCATGTTCTGTCTGTTTGTAATCAATGGAAAGGCCTGGTCAGATCCCTGCAGCTCCACCAGGGTTGGGCTGTGGGGAGGCCTTTTACCCCACCCGGTCCTCTTGCTTGCTTGCCCACTGCATCCAGCTCCCAGACCCCCAGTCTGGATCCTGGCACTCACTGCCTACCCCACCCTCCAAGACCCTGACTGCACCCTCACCCCAAGCTGGGAACAGGTTCCTAGCCAGCCCAAGAGTGGAGTGACTCTGGCCCAGGGCTGCTACACCTCTCCATGTTGCTGGGTCTCAATGGGTAGATTGATCAGGTCCTGCCAACTTCATCAGCAGTAGCTTATAGACTCTCCCAACTTATTTCCAGCCAGTACCCAACTCTGCATGCCAATCCCATCCCATCCTCTGCTGGGGCTTGGGAGGAAGGAGAGGGGCTGAGCACATGGACCCCAGCCTGGCTGCTTACCTTCCACCTCTGATGAGCTGGTCTCAGCAGACAGGGCCCGCTGCTGTGGACAGAAAGGTGCAGAAATGACGGAGGTCACCTTGGGGCTTTGCGTTCTGGGACCCATGTGATGGCAGGAAGGTAGAGGCCCCCATAACTCTTCCCCACCCTCTGCACACACTCTGCCCTGTCTCAGAGCTGCCTCTTTCTACACATGACTAAAACCAATTAGACCCTAGGTAAGTCCCACCTCTCTCTGGCCTCAGTTTCCTCATTTGGAAAAGGATGGAAGGCTGGAGGCCTTTGGAGGCCTCCTGTGTCCCAAAGATCTTATGATCCTGTGGGGTCTCCCTTCTACCCAGCCCCCAGGCCAGCCCTGCTGGGCCCTGTACAGCCCGCCTTGGCTGGGTGCCAGAGCCCAGGGGGAGGTGATCAGCTGGTGGGAGCTGAGGGGCTGGAGCAGGCGGCGCCATGAGCTGGTGCTGCCGGTAACGTTACACCTCTGGCCAGCCCTGCAGCAGGCAGGCTGGTGGCTGGGCTGCTCAGCGGGGGACTGTCCAGTCCACCAACTCCTGGGCTGCGGCTGGGGACTCCCAGGGCAGCAGGGCAGTGCAGTGGGAAGGGAGCTCATTGGCTTTGTCAGGATTTCACTGCCCAAGCTGGCTCCCAGCCAAACTCACCCAGCTCCTGGGAAAAGGGCCCTGCTCACTTCCCCAGGCCCTGCACTCAGGACCTCCAGCCACCCACCCAGAGGAGAGGGCATAGCAGGACCCCTTGTCTCATCCCCAGCTCACCCCTGAGCTCTTGTGGGGGCAGGGCCTATCCTCCCCACCAACAGCCTCTTCAGCCAGCTTCCTCCCCACCAGGCCAGGTCAGAGGTCCTGGGGGCGCCTGGCTGGTCACCGGGCCTCGACCCTGACCACAAGGCCAGGGAACTGCCTGGGATTAGTGGACAGATGCTTTTAGCAAAGCCACTAGGGCTCCAGGGGCCAGACAGGAAACCTCTCTCCTCCCTGTGGCTTCCCTGCCCCCACCAAGACAGCCCCCTGGAGCTGGGGACAGCCCAGTCTGAGAGCTCTTCCCAGAGGACACTGGTCCAGCCTGGCCCCTGGGAAATGTGTGTACATCCTAGGAGGTCCTGCTCCATGGAGCAGGTCTGTGACTTCAGAGCCCCCTGCTTCCAGTGCTGGGAGGGGGAGATTAGGAGAGCCAGGCCAGGGTTGGGGGGTGTTCTTACCTGGGGGTGCACAGCAGGCAGCGCCAGCCCAGCCAGGAGCTGCAGGAAGCAAGTGAGCAGCCTCAGGGCTAGCATCTTCTCAGAAGTCCTGAGCCAGGGGGCTCCAAGGGAAAATCACCATGCTAGTCCCCCTGGGGGGTTTCCTGGCACAGGAGAAGAGTTGAGTGAGGGGCTGAATGTCCCCCTCACTGCTGCCCGGAGGTCCCCGCTGGTGGCCCGAGCATCCTTTGGAAGCTCGGGGAGTCAGGAGCCAGCAGGTAAGGTTGTGGCTGCGGTACCTGGTGAGGAGCCTCCCGGCGGGTCGGGGCGGCGTGGGGCAGGCAAGTCCTTGGGAGGGTCCTCGGGGGCACGATGCGACCACAAGTCGTCTCGTGGCTGAGCAGAAGAAGTCTGAGGATGCAGTTTCCTGCTCAGACAGCAGCTCTCTTCTGGGACTGAAGCTGGTCGGCGACGCGGTTTCAAGGCTGTGCACGGGGCGGGGCTCCAGGCCACCCCGCCCACCGCGCCTCCCGCCCGAGGCCCGGCAGCGGCCCAGCGCAGAGCGCGGCCCGCGGGGCGGCGGCGGCGGCGGCGCGGAGCGGAGCGCGCCGAGCCTGGGGCTAGTGGACGGGGCGATCGCCACACAGACCCCAGGGCCTCAGCCAGCCCCGGGCCAGCCCACCCAGAGCCACGACCCAGCCGGCCTCTCTGGGCTGGCCACCTCGGGTGGTGCCTCCAGGTGCGCCGCCCAACGTCTGCCATCGAGGCTCAGGACTTTGTCTCTCGCGGACAGCTGCGCTGCATCCCTAGGAGGCAGCACCTTGGTCTGACCCTGCGTGGCCATGTCACGCCATCCCCACAGTCCTCGGGGGTGAAAGGATCAGTGATCCCATTTTATAGACGAAAAAACCGAGGTTGTGAGAGTGCCCCGCCTGCCAATGTTGAACGCACACGTGCACTCTTGAAAAGTGCATGTGCGTGTGCGCGTGTGTGCGTGTGCGCGTGCCTGTGTTTCCGGAGAACTAGCAGAGACAAAATCCAAGCTACGTGACTCCAGAACCGTCTCTCCACCCTGTCTACCACCCTCAGCCCCCCACGCAGCCAGCAGGGCAGCCCAGCTGTGGGCGGCCCACAGGAAGCACCTCAGGGCACCTGGCTGGGGGTCCAGCCCTGCTTCCTCCTGGGGAAGAGCGCACTTTGGCCAGCCCAGCAGGGGTGGAGTGGTCTAACCTGGCATCTCCTGGTCCCAGGCTAAGGAGGAAATGCTCCCGTGTAGCAGGGAGGGGTGTAGTGACTGGGTCTGTGTCTGTTCGTGTGCATGAGCATTTGTGTGTGACTGTGAAGGTACACATCCAGTGGTGTGCCCACCGACCATCCAAATAGGACACTCTGTATGGGCTGGGTCTTTGAGTATCTCTGTATGCATGAGTGAGTGTGTGTGTGTGTGTGTCCAGGGATGTTTGGAAATATGTCTGAACATGTATTTCTGTGGGATTATGAGTCTGTATGCCTGATGTGTCTCTGCATATGTGCGTCCTTCACTGTTTGTGAATACCTGGACAGGCTTCTATATGTAACCATGCAAGTTGGTGGCATTTGTGTTTATTCCCCCTTAGTCCTCAATGATTCTTTACCACTACCACTGTCACAGCCCTCTGTGCCCAGCTCCCTGGCTACAAGGACCTGGCAGGATTTGGAATCATGAGTTGGCTAGGCCTGGGGGTGGTGGGGGACTGTGGGGGAGGAGAGGGCCTGGGAGGTGACCCCTACAGCTCACATTTCAGCCAGAAGCAGGGAGGCCAGGGCAATCCTGGGTCTCACCCCAGTGACCTCTGGTCTGCTGCTTGCCTGCCCACCCACGAGGGGCTGCCAGAGACGCTGCCTCCCTGCCCAGTTAGCTCTAAGCCTGGAGGTCCAGGAGCCAAGGGCCAGTCAGCGGCCAGCTAAGCGGGGGCTGCAAAAAGCATTCTGACGAGCTCCAACATGCTAGGGTTCTTAAGATGGATATATTTCTTCCTGGGCCCATGGTCATTGGGGAGAGTCACTGTGCATGTGCATGAAGGTGAGAAGCTCTGTGCTGTGAGCTGTATCATGCATTTGCCCATGACATCTGTGTATATGTGTGCACGTATTTGTGTCTCTTTGGGATTTGGATTCATATGTGTGTATTATGCACTAATGTGTGTATTTATCTGTATCATATATGATTGTCTATATTAAATATTTTGAGTGCTTATGTGTTGAGCATATTTGCTTGTCACTGTGCTTATATAGAGGTGTGCATTATGTATTTATTCATTCATTTGATACATATTACTTTAGTCCTACTGTGCTCCTAGCTCTTGCCCAGGTGCTGGGGATATAGTACCACCATTCCCTCAACATTAAATTAACTATGGTGTGAATGGCACAGATGGCCGGGAATGCCAAAGCACTCCTTCTTCACTCCTGTGTGGCCTCAATACTTTAGGGAATGTGTATGATTCCCACAAGGGCACCTCAATCTATGGACACTAGACCACAGGCCACACCCAGCTTCTGGGCTGGGGCTGGGGCTGGGGCTCAGTGGTAGAACACCTGCCTAGCATTTGGTTCCACAAAAAGAAGAAGAATTTTAAAAAGACACTAAGCCAAGCTTCTGGGTTTTGAGATGAATTAGGTAGGGTAGGCAAGGTGGCAGAAAAAAACAAGAAGACTCATGGCTTGAGTAGTTTATTCTTGCTCACTTCCAGGCCAGGGTACCTGTGCCAGATCTCTATTCCTCTGTATTGTGGCCCCACTGCTGACTAGCCATGTAACTTCAAGTCAAGATGTTCGCTTTTGAGCCTAATTCCTCCACTAGAAAGTGAGAATAAGAACATGCTTACTCCCTAGGGTTGTGTGAGGACTGGCCAGGTGTTGGGGCACCAGCCTTGGGAGACATCAGCTCTGATTTCTATTTATTTATTTATTTATTTTATATTTTGGTACCAGGAATTGAACCCAGAGGTGCTCAATCACTGAGCCACACCCCCAGTCCTTTTTTTATATGTTATTTAGAGACAGGGTCTCACTAAATTGCTTAGGGCCTCACTAAGTTGCTGATGCTGACTTTGAACTCACAGTCCTTCTGCCTCAGTCTCCTGAGCCAAGCGGCTAGGATTACGGTCATGTGCCACCATGCCCAACTTTGGACCTGATTTCTAATTCAATTTTCGATTCTGATTAGAGAAATGAAAATGCTTTGGTTATAGAGTGGAGTCCTTGACAACATGGACAAAAGAGAAACAGAGAAGTTTATGATTCTGCCAATTGCAGAGGAACAATAGGATGGTGAGATTCGTGCACACACGCGCATGTGCATACACTAATTCCCTCCATCGTGCTCCGGGTGACCAGTGCTCAGCTGTGGTGGAGGTCCTCTGAGTGGATCCACCTGCTAAGAAGATAGCAGAGTCAGTTTTCACAATTCAGCACCTAAGTGTTCATTGCCACAATCCTTTGCTGTTGTTTCAGGAACAGAAAGTGATATTTATTGAGTACCTGTTATGTGTGAAGCAGCATGCCTTGTCTTGTGTTTTACACACCAACTCCTTAACTCTGTCCACAACAACACGAAGCAGGTTTTAATTATTCCCCCCCCCACTTTTTTTTTTCTGGTTCTAGGAATCAAACCCAGGGCCTCACATGTACAAAGCATGCACTCTACCACTGAACTACACCCAGCCTGTTAATTATTCCCATTTTGAAGATGGGAAAATGGAGGCCTAGAGAATATAAGTAATTTGACAATAGCCATTTAGCTACCAAGGAAGGAATAGCAATGGGGATCCAACCTAGATCTTTCTCCAAAGGTCTTTTAAGTGAGTGTGAACTCTCTTCCCAACCAGAGTACAAGTACCTTGAGGGCAGGGCTGATGTCTAGAACCTATTGCCAGAGCAGAGTGAGTGCTTGACAAACTCTGGATGGTCATGTGTGGGAAGAGGAGTCTCTGATCTCAGGAGCCGAACCTTTCCCGGGAGCACCAGGGGTTGGCCTGTGGAAACTGCACCCTGAGCAGCCATGGATTCCGGTTTGCGTGCTCTGCTGCCAGGCTCCCAAGGCTCCTTCCCACACCTTGTATTAGTCACAGCCTTTGTCTGAAACACCTGCCCTAACCCATCCCAATTTCTTGGCTTTCAGCTTCCTGACTCATTTTCCCATTTTGGTGTGGCTTCTTCAGTGTCTTGACCCTCTGAACTATTTCCCCTCCTATGACCTTTCCTTCTCTATAATGGATATCTGCTTCTGGTAAGGTGTCTCAGTGGCCCTGAATACACACCTCTGACCTTGTCCCTGAGCTCCAAGCCTGGGAATGGCCAATGTGGCTGAAAAGTGGCCTAAGAACTAAACCCTTCCCTTTCCTGGCTGGCAGAGAGCAGCCATGGGCAGCTCTGAGTCAAGGGCCTTTTCACTTTATAGGTTGGGCATGCTCTATAGCCAACTGTTACCCAAAGTCACCAACCAGCAAAGAGATGTTTGGTTGACGTCTTCTGCCTTTTCTTCCTGCCTCTTGGGCTGGGTTTTCCTGCAGACCCCCATGCCTCAGATCCGAGCCCTTCTCTTTGTTCCAGGTTCCTGTGACACTTAGATTGACCCTTCATCATGGTATCTGACCCTTAGTATCACAATTACCCAACTGCTTATCTGTCTGCCTCAGGGACTGTACAAAATCTAAGAGGGCAATGGTGTCTCAGGCTCACCTATATATCTCCAGCTCTTTCGTACGTGGTGAAATGCACCAATCCTCAGAGACTCCTCTTCCCACATGGAAAATGCCCCATATCTCTGCATTCCTTGCTCAAATGCCCTTCAGCTCTTCAGAAGGACCCCCTCCTAGACCATACTCAAGACCTTTCAACTTGGGTGGGCCTGTCTGGATGAGGGCCAGTGTGGGAGAACCACCTTCCATTACTGTGTAATCATGTACTGGTTGGTCACCACAGTCCACCAGCCCCCAGGGGACAGGGCTCATGCCTGTAGCCAGAGACCAGAACCCAGTGGGAGGCCTGGGGTGGGGCAGAGCTGGGAAGGGGAACGGGAGATGAGCCTATGGATGACCACCAAGTGGTTCCCA